CTTTGACGTCTGACAACTGTTATTCATAGTAACATTCAGTGGAGATATTGTTTCGTAGATAACTGCAGTCTGACTGCTGCTCATGTACACATTTTTTCTCGTACAAATCGCATCACATTAATATCAATTTATGATGCTTTAATGGTGGGAGGTACGATAAGAGTAAGGCAACAAAAACTTAAACATGAGTGGGAAATTATTGTTCACATTTCAAAGAGAGTTGTGAGATAAGACTTACTTCTACAGTTAGGTAACTTGCAAAATATTATGTTAGTATTCTAGTCAGCTTACGGGGATACAGCTGTTGTAACAAAACCTCGAGGGATTTCAATAACCTTTTTGTTCCGATACATCATTTATGTCTGTTGCAAGACTGACGTATGTACGTAATGTAGTAGTGGGTTTAATTGCGTGTCATTCATGCATACATCTAATTAAGTTATCTCGTTTTATATACCAAATATTTTAAATAACATATCAATTGTTCCTGTATTTTTAAAAATTTAGTGTGCAGATTATTTAGGAAATAAATTATAACATCTTGAGTCGTTCATTAAGTTTACACATAAAGAAATCGAAAATCAATATCAAAGACAACTGACAGTGAATTTCATACTAATTAACATAACTTGTCCTTCTGAGAGCAGGCATCTAAACAGATCTCTAAGTCTCAACGTCTTCTGGGTTGTATTTTATTTGGCCAGTAAATTTTCTAGTCTCTAAAATAATTTACCTCAGTTTACTCGTCGAATAAAATCATTTCCATCCTTTATTCACTACATTCATGCCTACTCATCCTCAGAAAATGCCTTAAATGTGCTTAAAGCTGTAACTGAGATTATAGGAACTCTAAATGTTTTGTTGTTTTATTACTGGGCCTACTAATTATCCCCCTTACTTGCAGATACTTTACACTTACACCATCCCCCATAAATTTAAATAATTTGAATATCATCTAATCCAAATATTAAAACAAAATAATCTTGTAAGTGAATCATGGTAGACTTGATAGGCCTGACTGACATATCGTTGCAATTATTACTTTCGTTGTTCTGTGCTCTCTGTTTCCATTCTATTTTGTCTAGTTGTAGATGACTAAAACCAATAAGATATGACACTGGAAACGACATAAAATACATCGTCCATACAACAACAAGATGTCTGACTGTAATTCATGTGAAAAATGTTCTTCGTAAACAATTTTCTAATTAGAGCACTTCCAACAATGTAACATGACATAACTATCCTCTACGGTAAATATTACGGCACACATGAAGCTGATCATACTTGCAAACTGGCACAAATTCTGTAATTATTATTTTCAGAATTTATTATTGTCACTATAATAATCATTATCATTACTCACATATTAGAAGCGGAAGAACCTGGCAATAGTTTGCACAGGTTCATAGCTTTTCAACAATATGATGTAAAAATAGGTGATGGATAAAATAACTGGTTGAAATAGAGTGGTTCAAATTTCTCATTTCAACTTTATCATGTTTCGAATTAGAGTTTATTCACGCAAAGAAGTCAGTAAACTGTGGACTTCTAAGCCGTAGTTTATTAAATGACTATATTTAAAATGATTCTCAGCATTTTGTACACTCGATTCCAGTCTATTGCCAAACTAGTCAGTTCTAATTCCCCATGGCTCAAGGACATTTCATACTGTTTATAGACAAAAATACAATCGGTTAAATTTTAAAAAATGTTATTTTTAAAAACATTCTAAATATAAAGTTATTATGAAAACCTTCCTACTTTACGGCTAAGAAACATGGCCAGTTAGAATGGAAGATATTCACAGGTTACTAGTATCCGATCATAGGTGTCTTCGAGTATCCTGGGACCATGGAGTCAGCAATGCTGGTGTTAAGAAAAAAGGATACTAGATAAGGATGGAAAATCAATTGATGAAATAGTAAATTTTCATCACTTAAGGTGTTTGAGACATGTGTTACGTATGCCCAACTATCGACTGCCCTGACGAGCGATGTAGATTTGAAGAGAGCTAAGGGCGGTCAGACAAAACATGGGAAAAATCCATGAGGTCACTGATAATATGGCTGATCAATGGTAAGTAAGTGTATACTACATAGTTGGGGTCGGCGAAACGATAGTGACCGGTAGTTAGGGATTTTGAATGACGCCGCTCAAAATCGTTTGCAATGGTGCAAATGGATCCATTCTTTGTCTCCTCTCAAATTCTTATCTTCTGGATTCCTTGTGACATTTTTTCTCTGTTTGCACTTATTTCACTGGACTATACTTCTTTAGTCATATCTTCGATCCCAAATCTTTCCGAATACCGCTAATACTGCTACTAACTCTACCACAATGGGATTTGAATTGACAATTCTATCACTCTGCGCTAATGTGGTATGGCAACATGGACTAATGTGCGGATGTGTGAAGTTCTGCATTGTAGCTGACTGTCTGACAACTACTAACACCAAACCTAAGCTGTGATAAATTTAAGGTTAATATAAATAAAGCCAGAACAACACATATTGAGTTCCATAAAGACTGTAGCCACGAAAAAATAGTGTTGAAAATTTCTAAAGTGTTTCAAAATTTAATTTCTATCACCAGCGGGATTTAATTATTGTCTCGACAGCATGCTCAATAATGAAACCCTTAAGTCAATTAAATCGCAGCTGAAGTTTACCTGTCGAAAAAACAGTGATGACCGTAAAATTAGATTCCCACGCTCTCTACGAGATATTATATTCTTAGGAGCTAAAGCTGTTAATACTAACGCACATAGATTGGGTGCATTTCAATCATTGTATTTGCCGAGAAAAGTTGCGGTTTAAAGGCACTAAAAGGTAACAACTGACTGTTAAATAGTATTATAATGGATAGTTTATATCTCTTTAAATCTCTTAACTATTGTTAAGCAAACTAGGCTAGAACTTGGTAGTAGATAGAGACTAAACTCAAACTTTGTTTTCATTGATATGCATCAGGGTAAAGTTTTTTAGGCACTTTATAAGATAAGGGTAGACTCTCTTAATACACCTGGGATGACTCAAAATGAATGCATTTAGTTATTGCTGTTATTCACTAACTTAAAGTTATAAAGTAGTATTACATCTTTATTTTGGAATTTTCGAATAATATACTAGCCGCCATTTCGAAATTCGATCATAAGACTCACAATGAGTATTATGCGAAATGACCTATAATATATTGAACAGAAGTTCTTGTTACTAAATCGCTTATGAAAAGTTCCAAAATGGCTTAACAATATTTTAAAAATAACTAAAATAACCCATCTCATCATTGAATAAAAATGAAAAGAATTCAGCGAAGAAAATTTTCTTTTCAACGATATCATTTTCAAGGGCTGTACAACCGTATTTATGGGGAATTTTTCACATAGTTGCCTACTGGAAAATGAAGGAGTTTTAGAAATTTATTAACGATAATCAAATTTATTTAGGTGGAAGACGAAGTTTTGACAGTTTCAAAAGAAATCTCTTTTCATAGATATCGAATTTAAAGGAGGTACGACTGCAGAAATCTTGAATAAACAGATTGCAAAATCTGTAAATAAACTTTCAGTCAAACTGCGTATTATCTTCTCAGGTCGACGTGCCGTTCATGGATGTATTAAGGATAAACTTCCGCTTTTGGCTACATAAATTTGCATGTATAAATGTACTTGTTTCTGTGTGGCGGGTTGCGTTGGCCCTACAAAGCGGTCACTCTCCAGACGCATCTCAGAACCTTACTTGGCTTGACCTCTAAAAGGAGAGTCAAAAGCCATCACTAGATCAATACTGGAGCATCTGAACAACTCTGGATAAGTTGCTCCCAAGGAGTTACCGTTCGAAGTAATATAAGCAGTTAAAAAATTGGATAAAACTGAGTTCAGATCAGCAACCTTTGCACTGCTGGGGCTTCTGCAATCCACCAATTCAAACCCGAACTGTGCATGCAGAAACAATATGTCTAACCTCTCATCCTTCCTTGTCGCTAAACTTCTCTAGTATGTTTTTGATTTTGTTTTGTTTTCATTATTGCTATTATTATTATTATTGCTATCAATATTTATATTTTTAAATAGTATTCAATTATTATTATCCATTATCGATTTTCATGATTATCATTCAATTTTGAAATCATGAATCGATCAATGTTAAACAACCATTAGAAACCTGTAAGTGTCCTGGCATGGGACTCATAAGAAGAATCATGCATATGCACTGATCGGGGGTCCCATCTAGGACGAAACGGCCGTCCAGTGCTTACAGGTTTCTAATGGTGGTCTAACATGATCGATTGCTGATTTCAACGTAACTCAACAATCCCCACAGCCCTATAATGCATATTATTGAATTGTTATTAATACCTTAGCGTTTTTCATTTTTTTCATATCTGTCGAATAAACAAATATCTCTGATATATCTGATCTCATCTTCCTATCTTTCTAACTCTTTTTACAATGAAATTACACCCTTCATTTACCAATTATTATTACTATCATATTTAATGCTTAAAACCTTTTAATAGTCCTCACCATATTATACAACATCATTTCATTTTCATTGCCTTTCACTTGAATAAGTTTGATAATCGTTAATAATTTCAGAAAACTCCTCTATTTTACAGTAGACGACTATGTGAAAAATTACCTATAAATACGATTAAACAGTCCGAGAAAATGATATTGTTGAAAAGAAAATTTTCGCCACTGAACATTATAAAAATGTATTAAACAAAAACAAACTCAACATTCATATTTTAATTAGTTTTCTGTTGAAAACTTTGTTGATTCAAAGGAAAGTAATTATTTTTGGAATTACCAACTAATAATAATAATAATTATATATATTTTGCAAATAATAATGAATGAATCAACAAAAAGCAATGATTTCAATGAACAATGACAATTTTACCAGTGAAATCAATCAACATTAATAAAATAGACACGCAAACAAAAATTTCAAGTAATGCGAGTTTAAATAGTCATTTGAATAGATTAATTTTATTCACTTGCTTCTATCCCCAGAAGTTTTTGTACTAGTCTCCATGGTAGTTATTGTTGTGTTGTGATTCTTCGAAAATGTAATTTTGCGACAAAGTTTGCGAAACATTCTCACTAATCTTTTTCTTAATTTTTGACTTGAAAGTAACAGAATGATCGGATTTAAAGAGCTGTTAATCACAGTAAAAAATACTGATAAACGCCTTTGTATTGATAATGCTTGATATTGTATAGCACCAAGTAAACTTAAAATTGAATAAATTTGATAGTATGAATGACTTAAAACGAATAAAGCACACATGATTGTTATGCTTAGTAAGACTGATTTAACTTGTCTAAAAGATGAAGATGGTGTTGATGTTGGTATACTCTTTGATGTTCGAAGTTCTGAAAATGTTGAAGTATTCCCAATTTGTGTACTTGTTTCGATTGTACATGATGAAGAATTAGTAGACTGAGATTTTACTACTGAACGTTTGATGACATAGTACACTCGAGAATAGCAAGTAATCATTACAAATGAAGGCAATAAATAAGCAAATACTAACCAACTATAAACAATAAAGTTTGCATACTGTGAATTATAGACTAATCCATTGCTACTACAAGTAGCATTCTTATGTTCAACTGTGAATAATAATGGTATGGGAGTAAAAACTGCATGACATAATATAAATGTATAACTTATGAAAAGTTCATATTTTTGAAATACTTTATATTTTATCTGGAGATGAACAGCACAGAATCGATCAATACTGATCCACATTAAATTGGACACATTTAACAATTCAATTAATCGTACCCAATATTCCGAAATCCATACATGACATAAAAATTCAGCAAACCAACCATCATAATTGCTGGCATCTGTACGTGTAAATAATGTTATCATTGCAAAAAAACAAGTCAATCCATCAAAACCACATTGTGTACGAAATAGGATAGTAGCAGATCGTGAGCCTAAACTTGTAAAAGATATAAAGATTAACGTGAATATATTGGATAATATTCCATTAATATCCACTATACTGGCAATAATGTAATAAGCCAATGGTATTGTTTTATCATCAGCAAAATCTTCCATGGATAATGAAGAAAACTAAGTTTGTTCAAGTGTTGTATTGACTTATGCTGTAGGTGGTGTGTGTTACTTGTATTAAAATTGAAACTGAATATGAACTGAATTGAATGATTTAGTGTTCTTTTTTAAAATCAAGATTAGATCGAGACAAAATAAAAAAAGAAGTTATTTTTCAGTTCAAAGGACATATAACCGATGACCGGTTATTTGCAATTTTTATATCATTATTTATTGTACATATTATTTTGAAATTGAACATTAAAAGTAAGTGAATTTTTTTCAAACATTCAAACTGATTCAGATAACCTGGTGTGTTTTTAAATAATGGATGCTTTATACAATTAGCTTGAACTATAATTTGAGCATTTCCTTCCCAAAAATATTTTTTTCATAACAAATCATCTGACTGGACAAAATTATCCTGATTTTGAATTGGAGCATTATTCAGGTTAGGATTTTCGGTCATTAAAGTAACAATCTTATAATATTTAAAAAAAATCATTTAAAACTAATTGATTGGTTAGTTGAATTTTATTGGATTCCATTATACTGAAGCGAGTTTTATGAGCGTGTCCTTGACTATTCTACCACATTGCTGTGATATTCGTTTACTGGTGACTGGTGGGAATGATGGAGTATATTCAACATTTCCAGCTGACAGTCTTTATACATCCCATATCTGTATAATTGTACCATACTGATGCAATCCTATAAGTACCAACATACCAGATACTAGCGTACATTGCTTCGTAGTATCAAAAAGAATCTTGTACACGTTTGATAAAGGTAAAGTATCACTCTTGATGGAGATGCCTTGGAGGACGTTAACACCTTTAAATATTCGGGCAGCATCATCAACAACCAAGGTGGATCCGATGCAGGGCGCTGATCGGCAAAGTAAGAGCTGCATTTCTACAGTTGAAAAATATCTGGAACTCCAACAACTTTCAACCAAAACCGAAATCAGGATTTTCAATATTAATGTCAAGACAGTTCTACTGTATGGAGCGGAAACTTGGAGAACTACGAAAGGCATCATCCAGAAGATACAAGTGTTTATTGACAGTTGTCTACGCAAAATACTTCGTATTCGTTGGCCAGACACCATCAGCAACAACGAACTGTGGGAGAGAACAAACCAGATTCCAGTGGAGGAGGAAATCAGGAAGAAGTGGTAGAAGTGGATAGGACACACATTACGAAAAGCATCTAACTGCGTCACAAGACAAGCCCTCACTTGGAACCCTCAAGCCAAAAGGAAAAGAGTAAGGTCAAGGAACACATTACGCCGAGACATAGAGAAAGATATGAGAGGAATGAACAAAAATTGGACAGAACTGTAGACGGAGGACCAGGACAGAGTTGTTTGGAGAAAACTGGTGAGCGGCCTATGCCCTATTGGGGGTAACAGGAGTAAGTAAGTAAGTAAGGTATCTAGACTACACAATCACCTTTTTCTGAAATACTGTCATCAATAAAGGAGACTGTTATGAATTCCATTTATATGATATTGTGACTAATGAACGATAATTTCGACAAATTCACTAAATTGTGTTGATTTTTGTCAGAAATGAAAACAAGTTTCTAGAAGAAGAAAACATATTGAAGTAATTAAACTACAAAACAATAATTTCTTGTGGTCATAGAATAGTTTAATATCAGAATACATAGGAATACAAATCGGGAATATGATTGATGAATTTGGAATTTATAACTAGGTAATTTATTAAATGTAACGATGACCAAACAAATAACATCAAAATCTGTTAAGCCATTTAAGATTTAATCGTTAACCAGTTTAAAAATGATATGCTATGTTTAACTCTATACTGCTATTAATAAACAAGTTCTATGAGAGTTCCAGTTTAAAGATGAATCTTCACAAACTCTACCAGTAGATCAAGTATTCGCTTCAAGGCACAATATAGCTTTATTTTTAACCATGAATTGATCAATCTTAGACCACCATTAGAAACCTGGAAGCACTGGACGGCCGTTTCGTCCTGGTATGGGACTCATCAGCAGTGCGCAATATAGCTGTCTATGCGACACTTGATAAGAGGTGTAACTGCATCATTAGATTTGAATCGGTTCTCTAAAAAATAGGACGAGGAAGAATGCTAAACCACAGTTAAGAGAACATATGAGGAACTCGTATTAATATGCTTCATAGATGATTTCCGAATAATCGGAAACGTTCATTTTAGATGATATAGGTTTTAATTGACTTGATTCTTCGTAAATGATATATACAACTTTCATATGCTAAAAAAAAATCAAGTCTCTCTGGTTAAAGCTCGTTTCTGAAGAGTATGGAAACCAAGTCTTTGTTTCCGAAGAGGATTTCAAATATATGTGAGAGGTATACGTGAATCTGGTAATATCTTCTTGTATTGTTGCCTAAATGAATTAGACGTTTATCATAAAACCACTGCGATAGTTAATTTTCAACAAATATACGATAAGTAGAATGAATCAAAATAATACCATTAGAATGTAGCCAATTATTCTATGGTGGCCGTTGATTAACAAGTAATTATATAATGCTTAATATATGTTATGTCCTTGCACCAACCAATACTGCAGACGGCTTTTCAGTAACTAATATACAAGACGGAGGACTTGACTTCTCTTTGGCACAATGATCACTTGATCCAGTCGAAGAGGGAAAACTAAGATTACTTACCACCTGTAAAGATTTCTCTCGTCATTATATTTCCGACACATTGACAACCAGCTCATATCGCACCAATAAATGGATACGAGCAACTAAACATGGATAGCCGAAGGTTACTTTGAGTAAGGGAGAATGAAAATAATAAACGACCAACAGATTAAGAATACATCATACATTATAGTTAAAAGTTATTCAAGAGCTCAGGATACAGTTATTATACAACTAGACTACATACATCATCCATAAACTGGGTTCTTAAGTCATCATTTGACACAGTCTTTATTTGGACATAACACCAAGCTTATATCATTTGGAGCTCCTTTAATTAATTATAATGTTTAGATTTGTTTCTGTTTTTTGATTTAACGCCATGGTTAACTGCATGTCTAGTCCGAATCTACATATACAATAGCTAAATTGTTTCACTCATTTATATGATTAGTTTTATGTGAAACAAAAACTCTGTCTTCGGTCGTAGCTAAAGCTGAAACTTTACGCGCAAATGCATACTTGTTCATATAACACATTGTGAATAATCTTCACACTGTATCCCTTATAACCGAAACCCATTAAGACAAGCCTTTAGCTTAGTTTGATAATTAAGCCTAATTTTTTCTTCGATAATTTTGATTTCGATCATTTACTTGAAGAAGCTAAAAACAGAATACTCAGCGAAATATTAAAATGAATTAAATTTCATTCTCTGACACTAAGTCAGATACAATTTTCACCCTTAGGGTAGATGCTAGTGGTACTTTTATAAATCATTATTAAAAATAACCTTGCTTTGCCATGCAATGAAAGTACTCACTCCTACAACACATGTGACTTTTAAAAATATACCGCGTCACCAGTTTATTTTTGATCCTAGCATTTCTTTTCAAACTATAATTCTGATGTAATCAAATAAGTCACCTGACGGTAAAAAAAAACGATTGATTAAAAAGGACCATCGATTTAGTTTTGACGAGAATGTTTGATATTCTATTTTGTTTGTAACAGTATCAATTTCCCACCAAACTGGAATACAATACGCGTATTATCACGATGTCAAATAAAGTACAAAATGGAGCTTGATTAGAATCTTTTTTTTAAAAAAAGAAAATAAACTGCTGTTTACGTGACTGATATTTATTGTAACTAAAAAATACGAAGAACAATAAACTCGTTTGAAAGTGATCAAAACTTTTCAGTCCCTGGAATAAAAGTGAATGAAAAATAGTGCTCAGTAAGTTTATGAAATAATACTGAAATTCATTCAAATGAGTTTTAATCACTTACCTATTGAAAATATATCTGCTCTGTAACGTATATTATTATTATTATTAGTCTACTATACTACTAATTATCTGATCAAACTACTGTAATGATTGAGATAACGGAAGAGATAATTTACTGATGTAAACGTTATCTGAAATCCAGTATAAATAGCTATCAGAAAGCAAAGCCACTGATTAGTTAAACGAACATTTTAGAAAATGACAAGTGTATGGAATAGTTAGTGATTATTGTAAGATGTTTCTTATGACGAATGATTAAACAAGAATGGCCATAATGTTAGAAAAGCAATCATTAGTATTTTAGTCTTGTCCTGTGAACGTTTAACGAAATGTGTACCAGGTTTATTTCAAGTCTGAATTTTTTTAAAAAAAAACAATTTTTCTTCAGTCTAACCATGAGAGCACAGTTATGATTGGTAAAAAATAATAATTTTTTGATAAGAATATTCTGCTGTAACAACATTTAAAAGTTATTTTAAACAAATATTGAAAATCAACAACTTTTGATAAAGAGACATTTTATTTCTTGCAATGATCAAATAGATTAAACATCATTTATAAAATTCATTCTTCTTTTTTTAACCCGAAACTCTTTCTATTAGCGCAAACTTACTCACTCGAACTAGTTTACTTACTGATGGGGAAGAACCATTCAATAAATATTCTAAAGACACGATAAGCTGAAAGATGAATAACGAATTAAATCTGGTTTACTTGTCATAATATTGTAGATACTCCAAGTCCTACTTCGGTTTTTAATGTTGCTTTGCTCATAACTCATTACCAATGGATAGTAGTTAAACCTTTGTTAGCATATTATAATAACTTACACCCGTAGTCGATCGTTTTTAGAAAATTCCAAACAGTTACATACTAAACTAGTTAACTTACGCAAGGTAATTCATTATAAATAATATTGCACTTTAGTATTCTATGCAATTATTTATTAATTCCAATAAATTTCAGCTGATTGTTTGATACTGTTTATCACTTCTCAACAGATATAATACATAAAAATACTTTTTTTTCTTATCAGTGCAAAAATACTTTCTCATTACACTGTTAAGTAATTTACTTACATTCATTTAAATAGTGGGTGTCTTTTCTTTTTCAAAATTTATTAGTGTATCTCTAATTGACAGTTCTTTTTCTTTTAAACTCATTACAGGTGAATTTGCCGTATTGTCTTTGATTTTTTCATTGAAATTCAGTTAGTTTATTTGTGAATTTTCGGTAACACCTTACAAATCAATGTAGCCTACACTGAGGCACATGAATTAGGTCAAAAGCACCGGCACTTTAGAGTAGTAAAGTAGGAACCAGTAAGCTTGAATCTATAGTTAGCTAATCAATCTTGAACGATCTATTTTACTATAGCTTAAATGAATTGTTATTTTTTGATGTGTTTCGAATTGTTAATAGAAAAATAATTAAAAAGTTGGATTTCAAGTCTCCTTGAATATGAACTTTAATAGAGTACTAGCATCACACATGCTAGTGAATTGATTTTCAAGTAGGAAAAAGAAATTAATGATTTTCATAAAGTTCCTTTTGATACCTCTGTATTCTAGGATACTACTCATCGAAAGAGATATCAATATCTGATATTTAACGATCAAAAAGTTCATTCTAGTTTTATGAAATAATTTCTTAGCATCCATAACAGTTATCCTAAACAGAAATGGATACCAAATTTTTGATTTCAAAAAAAAATAATTAGTCCACTTTCATGAATTTAATTTAATTTCATGCAATTCAATACATCAATAATGATCATTGTTTTGTACTTACGGATTAGAGCTATAAATAGTAAACATTCAAAAGTCCAGCTCAATGTATGTGATTGATAAACTTTCATGGACATTGAATCATCTATTTAGTAGTCATTTAACAAAACACACTTAGATAACATTCAATGAAATTTACATACAGACATTTTTAGTTGCTTTATAACCATTATGTTAGGCAACGCGTCGAATAATCATATAGTTTAGATGATCATGTATTCTTCCTATATAATCTATCCAAGTTCAATTTTTATGGATGAAGACACAATCGAAATTGAACCAAAAAACATTTATTATGAATTAAAACATTCTTCTTATATTTCAGTTTAAGTTACAAACATGAAACAACGAATTCATAATACATATCGAAGTATACATTCATTGGGTTGAAAGTTTTCTACGAAATGTATTTGAATACATTTTGGCCTGTGAACATTCTCTGTTGTCAATAGCGTCAAGTTTATTAACTGAACATCGCATAAAAGAAACTTCACAGCCTCCACACGCATTACAAAGTTTCTTCAATTCTTCAATACCATTGTAAGATCTTGAGATGACCGCTTCGCTCAAACCTATAAAACAAAATGTAAAAAAACAAGTGTCAACAGACGAACATAAAATTAGGTGCAATATAAAAACCGTAGATTATTTAAAAATCATATTTACAACAAAGATTCCAGTCTTTTTTTTCGGGCAGAGTTTTGGAGGTTTGTGTTTTTACACATTTGAAATCATCAATCAATCATTGTTAGACCACCATTAGAAACCTGGAAGCGCACAATACTGACGGTCCCGGGTTCGAATCCTGAAAGGTGCACTGCTGATGAGTCCTATACCAGGACGAAACGGCCGTCCAGTGCTTCCAGGTTTCTAATGGAGGTCTAACAATGATTGATTGATGATTTCAAATGTGTAAAGATTTCATTAACATTGAATAATTAATTATGTAAGTTCTATTTTTAATTTAACTGTTCAATATTTTAATACACAGAATATAGCAATATTAAGTATTTTCTTCTAGTTCACAATACTATGCCTTTTTTCAAGTCGGCTTTATTAATAGTAACACAAATTAAAGCTTAAGAATTGTATTGTCAAGTATTCAAGTAGACCATTGGGTTTTTATTCCTTTCCGCCTTTCAATTATTACTCAGTTAATGTCAGTAGATGATGAAAGCTTATCATCGTAATTGGATTCGTTTCTTAGATCAGGCTATGAGAATTAATTTTCGAAATCTCTGGGAATGTTTTGGTATTGAACTGATCAGAAGTTACTGTCTGGCTCCCGACTACCTAAATTACTGCTAGTGTCAGAGTATGTAAGGAAAACTATATTCAACCTCCACACATCTTAACAAATTACTCAAGTAAATTGCGGATTGCTTTTTTCTGAATAATCGATACTCTGGGTAAAATGAGTAAAAATTTCATGATGGAAATTTATGGCATATTCTAGCAACTTACCTGGACAACGTTTTGAAATTAAACCAGATAACAAACAGCGTCTAAACAACATTTCTAACTTTTTAGTACAAGCTGAATATGAAGATGAATCGGTATGAATAAAGCTGAGTATGAGCATCAAGAAAATAGCTGTAATCTAAAGTAGAATTTGGATTCATTTAATTATTTAGCAGTAATAATAAGCATAATTTAAGCATAATTTCATTATTCTAAAGTATTAAAAAGTACAAAATTATAATGTCTTAAAAGTATGAATACTGAAGAGCTCCTAATGCTTGTGTAACATATCCCTCAATCCATAGTCTCTTGTATGCAGATTATTACTATGTGAAGTAGATTTACTCAAACGAACAAAATTGCCAATGTTGTAACAGTTCTAGCAATATTATGGAAAATTCGGATAGTTTTTCAACTCAGTAATTTTATCTATAACTGATAAACGAAAAATAGCAAAACATACTAACTTGAAGTAGTGGGGTATCTGGGTAATTTATATCACTACTGGTTGGTTATTTATTAAAATGAGGTGTTGATAAGAAATAGAAACTATGAGGTAAATTATGCCTTTGCTAACAATCAAGTTGAATGATGATGATGTCCGTCAAAATTCAAGCATTTTGTGAGCCAATATATTTCAAACTTCATTTATTTAATGCTGTGAGTATGTAACAACTGTTGTGATTGAAACATCGAAATTTGTACTATGAAACTATATGCTCAATAAAGTGAATCTAACTCAGAAAAAACATTTGATATTTTCACTATACTCTTTCATTATCAATCAAAGAGAAAGTTCTTTTCCAGATTCTGGGTTACGAAAAATAACTTGGTCATTGTTAGAATGATGCTGTAAAAACTTTCTTCGAAATCATCCAAAAAACTTAAAAGAATGATAAAGTGACACCAGTTTGTCTGTTCAATTATTATTACTACCTTATTCTTCTAGGTACTTTTTATTTATCTAGTTATTCTCAGGACTTATAACTTACACATTCTCATCCTTGAACTGAACAAAATTTTCATAAAAGTAAACTGAAGGAAAAATATTCAAAAAATTGCATGCTGTTGCTGTTTATCAGTGTATTACTACTAGATAATATCAGATATTTATTTCACGTATCAACCAACGTTTAGAAAATCACTGCCGTCTTTCTTTAATTCAATGCTTATGCATAGATAGCAAGACGTTTACACTGAGTTTTCACTCCGAGTAGGTTTCTTCATAAAGTATAAACTTTCTATAAACTTTTACCTTTGGATGGATCTATAGTTAAATCACTATTTAGATTAGTTTTTCTCGAAATGATAATTATTCAAAAACTGAACAGCAATTTAATATTTTCTAGTGGCCGGAGATCTGACTTCAGTTTGGACGAACAATAAGAGTTATGAACAGAAATCATGCATTTAATTCTGTATATTACGCTTAGACTAACCCTATTTGAGAATCGGTGGTATTAGTAAACCAAATACTGACTCAGTTGGATGAGTTTATTTCAGGCAACCGTTTACACAGGCAGACATTTAAAATGAGAAGCAGGAAAACGAAGCAAAGTGGAAGAGGCAAATGAGAAAACTTCATTTTGTCAATTGCAACTCACTATTTATAGCCAGATAAAAATTAAACCGAAAACATATGATGAATAGAGTTAGAGATACACGCAAATGCACACAAATAAAAACAACTAAGGTTATATGCAAATAACTGACAAGGTCGAAATGTGTGTGGATTATTACTTGAAAAGAATAAATCACCTAAACCATCCAAATGTAAGAATAAACCATATAGGCGTGGCATAGCAGCACACACTATAACTTAATCGCTAGTTGATATATATATATATATATATATATATATATATATATATATATATATCACGTGGAAATACTTAGCATTACCGACAGTAGCCACCATAAGAACAATTGGATACTAGAATCAGGCTTTAGAAATCAAAGGATTAAAAATCGGCCGCCATCGATGATGACGAAAGACACTCACAATTTATCGTAAGTCTAATCAGGTTCAACAATAAAGATCAGACGGTTTTGTTCCTACTGTATGAGAAATGTTATGTCAGGAATGTAATCTGTTAAGATTTCGCTAGCTAAGATATTATAACTACCCAATGTTTTCTGAATTTAAAAAGTTCGTTGGGTGATGTCATTTTGTGACAAAAACTGATGAGTCCATGCAGGCCACATATATAAATAAACAATGTTAATCTCTTCCCAAAAATTTGACTCACTTTACTCGAGACAAACATTGTTACAAATTCCGATTAATTCCTATGATTAAAAAGACACCGGTCGAGTAAAATTTTCAGTATTGAAATTGAACGCAAATTTATATATTTTACTTGGTGAAAAACAGCAGCAATACCGGAAGTGACCGAAGTGATTATTATTATTATTATTATTATTATTATTATTATTATTATTATGATAATTAGATAATTACGAGTATCAAATGAAATTTCATACTGAAGTTTAAAGCATTGTAAAAATCTTTAATTTTACAGGATAAAAGTACAACTATGATGTTTTCAACTTCATCATGGCTTCTTTCAAGATTACGTGTTAGCTCGAATTCATATATAATTCTACTGATTTCAAGGAAGTGATTAGCTTTCAAAAAGTACTATTTCAGTAAATAACTCTTTAATACCAGTAATGATGATTCAATCAAAAATCTTAAGTACTTTAAAGCATTTAGTGAGCATATTTCCTTTGGTTTACGGCTATTCAACAAAACCAATATCTCACCTGATATTGAAGCTAGGATTTTGATGGTTCTGTAATGAAATTCACCATCAGTTGTAGAAATGAAATGAATATATTTGTTCAACGGTCTTCTATTCTTTGACACTTCTTTTGAAAATTTCAACTGATGAAGAAGATTATCCTCGATCCACTAAATTGCGAAGAAAAGTGTTATAGTAGCCACAATCTGTGATTCATTCAATCTTTATTATCTGAAAAATCATCTAACATAATAATTATCAGTACAGTTCATCTGAGTAACTCATCTAAAGCTTATATAGTTACCCTGGATATTATTAATATTAAAAAAAACTTCCAGAAATAAGCTTTGTAAAAATTTCTTATTTTGGATATATAATTACTGATACCATTTACTTCAATAGTTTTGAGCATATGGCTTATGTGTTGAAAAGCAGAAACTATAGCTCTTTAAGCCGTCACATAATTCATCTCGTCAAAATATAACGGTAATCCAGATAACCATATATTCATAAACACAATTTGTTGAGTTTGTAAATATATCCGCATCATTAGAAATACATAGTTTACAACGGCCTTACCTCCATATGTCATCATTATACATTTTCTGTATATCACAGTAAAAAACAATTATATACATTTTGTTGTCTACTGATGTAGCCTAACTAATTAAACAGGGTTCTAGAGATCTGAAACTAAGTAACAATAGCGATATTTTCAAATATGTTGAAAAATAAAATTCGATGAATATTAAACAGTGACTTCCTCTTGTCTTTTATTCGAAAAATTAATAGATAATATATATATGGAAAGCTTGATGTGTACATCTAATGTAGTTTCCAGTTTCTGCTTTTATCATACCACTTATTTTTTTGATGATTTGTGTAAAATTGAAACTAATGTTGAACCAAGTTCCAACTAATTCATAATAATAGATTATATTTATAATTTCTAAACGTATTTAGAACTCTTTCTATAAAATAAATTGGTGTGTAATTTATACATAATAACTGATGAATGCAGCTTGTGTAATTATGTAACTATGATTATTTCCATTACAGACATTTCAAAAAATATTTATAGAATAATTGTTCTCGTAATTTATAGATAACATGTGATTATCAATTTGATTATCTATCTAGCTTGTGATGCAGCTGTCGGTTAATTGATAAAATGTGAATTGTTATTATTTTATTTATATTTTTAGAAAAAGCAGCGTTGTTGTTCAGGATGATGGAATAAAAATTTCAATAGTCTGTTAAAAATGAATATCGTTATAACTCAGAACAACAAAAACTGTGGTTGCGTCAAATAAATGAAATCTACCTAATGGAATAAATGGTTACAATTCCTGATATATCTAAAGATTACTGAATGACATTTTGTACATAGTTAAATCACAGTAAAAGTACTGCACTCATATACTCTACCAAATAAAAAAAAATTCATGACCATAGATTAAGATTTGAACCAATTATGATTCAAGAAATTTTTCATGAAAAAAAAATTTATTTACTCACCAGGTTGAAGGGTGTGAATCCATCTGGAATACTTCCAATGTTAATTTCGGTCGCAAACCTGATTAAAGAAGAAGGTTCATGCATCAAGATAGCGACAACATTCACTGGAAAACAACCTTCACCAAATGCTAATCACAATGGATAATTAAAACCAGTTAAAATGTCTTCAGTTAGAAGACTAATAATGGCTCATGGTGAGAGCACTGCAATGTGCGTCGGTTCGTCGATGCCAGGTGATGCGTGAGGAGGTAGCGAACGAATCGGTCGTGGTCACTAGCAATTTGTCGGTCAGCCCATCGACAATCAGCATGATGATGATGATGATGATGATGATGATGATGATGATGATGATTGTGTGCGGACTGTGTTCACTTCACCATTGGGTTTCTCAATATCCACCAGTTAACCAAGACATTAGTGTGAACACACACTGTCACTCGATAAGCACACGATATTTCCAGTGGCAGTTCGTCCGAAATGTGTCAAGGTGTACACGTGTCGAAAATACAACAGCACCTGTGGACGAGCATCTGACAATTCCATCGACAGTGATGTCCAACCAGAC